CATTTTTCAGCCTATGCAAGGCCTTTTTTTTCTTTTACTATTTCTCTGATTGTGATGTCCTTCAGCTTTTCAAGAAATTCTGGCATGAGCACAATTTTTAAAACTTTTTGAACGGGAAATCATAGGAGTCTATTACTGCCATACTTTCTGTCTTTAACGTTTTGGCCAATAGCAGAACAGGCTCAGTGTGTTGTCCTTATACATGTATTCTGTGATGACCCTTGTTCAATTAGCACAAGCAATAGGTTTCTGTCTGTCTGTCTGTCTGTCTGTTTGTCTCGAGCACACTTGGGTGCTCTTGCGGCGCCTGATCATTTTGTTCCCCTTTGTACTGCATGTTTTGCAAAGCCAAAGTTGTATTGAGACTTTTAACCCCTTCACTGCTGAAAAGTTTCCATCAACATATGTACAGACAAGATACATTGATAATTCGAGGAATATTTAAGCTTTAACACAAAGAATTGTTTCAGAATACACAAAATCACAAGCTGTAACTAAACCAACTAAAACAACGTCTTTTGTCAACCAGATGTAACAACAATATAAGTGGAGAATACAAGCCAGAACATACGCCTACACCGCAGTGAAGAGGTTAATAGAAAAACACATAGATCTAATCGCTTATGATTCAGAACAACTGATTATTTGTTTCACTGTCTACTGACTTTAAAGGATATCGGTTAACAGACTGACATACTGACTTGTTGATAGATAGATAGATAGATAGATAGATAGATAGATAGATAGATAGATAGATAGATTTAATTCAGGTTTTTTTCTGTAAATCAAGCCCCTCTCCCGTCCTTTCTTCCCTCCTCCGAAAAGCTAAAAATCTACTTCCTCCAGGTTCCAGGACAATCGAGAAAACTCGAAGGTCTATCGTCATATGGTAGGAATGTTTCTGCCCGTTCCCTGTTATTATGTCAATATTTGAACTAGACTAAAAAGTAAACTGTGCTTTATTGAGGTAGAGTTAATTTTTTAAATGATTTTATAATGTCATGGCTCAGGAAGGACAATCTTGCCCTTGAAGAAGAATTGATTTTTTGTTTTCTTCATTCTTAGTTTCCGTTTCACTGTTTAGGGAGTAGGCAAGTTAAGTTAGTGTGGATAGGGAATTTAATAAGAATAGTTTGGAATCTACTTGTTATTGTTGCGAGACACGCCAAAATTTAGATACATGTCAACTGTATATGACTTTATACGGTGTGTGCGCATGTGTTTTTGTCTGTGTGTGTGAGTGTGTATGTGTATGTGTGTTGTGTTTGTGTGTGTGAGCGAGAGGGAGAGAGAGAGAGAGAGAGAAAGGGAGAGAGAGAAAGGGAGAGAGAGGGAGGGAAAGATATATTTTTTTTTAATGAGAGGAGGTAGGGAGAAAATCCCCCTTCCATTACATGTGTAATGTAATCATTTATTATGTCTAAACCTGCTCGCTGCTTCAAATTATGTATCCGTTATCGTTTCTTCAAACTCCATGCCCGACACACCGTGACGTGTGAAGTTGTTCTGATTGCCTCAGCGTCAGGGAGCGGACAGTGTGATGGGATAGAGAGAGAGGGATAAGAAGGAAGAGAGAGACAGAAAGAGAGAGAGAGAGAGAGAGAGAGAGAAAGAGAGAGAGAAAGAGAGAAAAAGAGAGGGAGGGTGGGAGGGATATCTGAGGTCAATGAAGCACCCGGGACGCCACAGCTAGGCACAAGGGCAGGCCGTATCTATCTTCCTAGTCACCTCTAATGAGGTCCCAAGGTACGCTACTCGAGCAGACCCTGAGA